TCCAATGTATCTTGCACGAGACAATTGCCATAGTGTACTGCAAGTGATTAAAATTGGGAGTTTTATGTTGCATACAGTAACATTAAAATATCCTGACATTAAAAGTGACACGAATAATTTATCTATATATTTATACATAAATATCTGTGTATTTTAGCTAGCAGAACTTCCAGAATATGAAGACTTACCAAATGAAAGCAGAGTTTTGGGCAGTTGACATCTCTGAAAAAAAATACCAAGTCAACAGAGCACTCTCTTTGAAGCAAGTTTTCATTCCCTGATAACACCAAAGCTATCGAGGACCTGGGTTAAGCATTGTGTGACAGGGCAAGCTTCTAAAATGGGCAAGAGCAAGACGAATTGGCTAAGTCGGGTGTTTATTTATACAAACAAGAGGGCAGAACATAATTTAGTTGCATCAGGAATTTTTCACAGACATTAAAACTATAGCAAACATAACAGCGGGGATGCTTGCACAGCAGCACAGTGGGGAAGCTCACAGAGCGTCTGCCCACACTACGGCTGGCTGTAGCCAGCGCCATAAGTCTCACAATTTCATTAGCACTCGAAAATCCACCTAAACCACTCAGTTCCGATTAAAAAAAAAAAAAAAAAAGAAAAAAAAAAAACCACACACATCAAAAAACCCCAAATGAAATAAACAAACCTAAAAAGCCCCAGACAAGACCTGTCTTTCTCTCGGCAGCTGAATCAGTTGCAAATTGTTGGAAAAAACTCTTGGCAGACGGATTTTGCTGTAGCAACAGTGTGTGACGTTTTAACCACAGCAGAAATCTTCTCCAAAAAAACCAAAACAAGGTGAGAAGAGCCATGTAAGAAAATCAGAGAAAGCCATGCCTGTAAAACAACAACAGCAAAACATAGATTAGGTGGCCGATCAATAGTTTGATATTTTATGTAGAATCATAAATCACTGTTTTTTTTCAGCAGTTCAGCTGTGAGGCTCGAGAGCATAAAAAGCAAGCATGGCTCGTGATAAAATTAGGCATTAATGTGAGCTGTAAATGCCATTTAACATTAAACATGCACAAGCCACCGAAATGCCTGGTAAAGGGAAACGGGCGCTGTAGTAAAACTATACAAAGTAAGTCAGACATGAATAATGCAGCAGGTCTGAGGAGGGTCACGGGTCAGACTCCAGTACCTTACAAAATAATGAATGCATGTCAGGTTAGAGACATACATCCCTTCCTTGCAAACGTGAGTTATTGGAGATAAACCTTGGACTTCCTGTTCTGAAACAAAGTGGCTTGTTGTAAACATCTATGTCCATTTAAAATTAATGATTAAAAGAAAGATTCAGTGGGATTTGCTTAAGTATTCTTTATGGACGCGAGTGCTAAAGGTTACTTTCTTCATTCATTTTTACCCAGCCACTGTTAAGGTTACAGACACATCATGTTTTCCTCTGCGCTCAAATGTTTATCCAAAGCTCATTTACAAAAAAGCTTATATAATATTAAGTGTGGGGTTTTTTCCAATGCATTCTTCGTTTAAATATAAACAAGAAAGCATCTCCACAGATTTGCTCCGTTAAAGGGAGTCAGCTCTATTTTTAAAGACTAACCCAAATTCTAAATATATGTTCTATGAAAATATTACATGGAAAACCATCTGCGATTCATTCCAGAGTATCCTGATCTGCTGAAATTATCAACTCCATCTTCCATATTTTGCCCCAAAATTGCAAAAGGGATTAACCGTCCTCTCATTCTTTATTTGATATATGTGATTATGACAGCTCTCTTCCTTCAGAAATCTTCACAGGGAAAAGAGAGTCTAACTTTCCAAAATGGGAATCTTTTTCTCAGGTATTCACCCATTTTCACAATCAAAAAAAGTATAATAAAAATAGTGCATAATGCAGTGCAAGGAGGGGGATACCTTCTCCACAGCTATTTGTAAAAACCCGTGATTAAGGATTTCCTCCCTTTATCTGAGCATGATAAAGAGAAAACCTCCAAAAAAACCTAAGTTAAAGAACCTTCCTACTTAGGAATCTGAAAGGGGAAAATTTCTAGGAAAGTGGAACTCAAGGCTTTACAGAAAGAAAGCAAATACATAGGTATTGCAAATGAAACATAAGATCTTGCATCTGAACTGTTAAATATTCCATCAACAAGGTCAAGAGTAAAGACAAGCCCAGCCACAAAAACTGAAGCGAGAGTAAGCTTTAATAAAAAAAATGAACAGTTTATCCTCTTCAGCTTCTCAAGTGGAAAAACAAATTCTTTTATACTTGAGAAAAATCAAGCGTGTATATAGCAGTTAAAAACCCACCAATATCAACCATTTTAATGAAAGAGTACCCAATATTTTCATGGAACTATAAAAGGGAGCGAGACTAAGTGTTATGGCAAAAAGCCTGGGCTCAGCAGCTTTGTGTGGGAAATGGTGAAATGTGACTGTGATTTATAATGAGAAAAGGTATCTACAACATACAATTTTCTACCTAGCTGCAAATAATCATTCATAGTGATGTCCCTTCCAGATAAAATACCTTTGCAATGTAGGACTCATGTGGTAAAATGATCATGATAAATGTCAGAGCAGTGCAGGTAACGGCTTTACAAACCATTAAGATTAGCTGGCTCTTTTTTTTTGATGATAACAGTAACCATGCTGTGACTCTATGTGGTAATAATATCTCAGTACTGATAAATGCCAGAGCCAGGCAGAGGTGTTTATCATTCCCAGTTCAGAAATGCTGACTAAAGTTACCACATGTTGCCTGTTTTTTTCTTCTTTTACAATAGACTAACAATTAGCAAACAGGCCGGTTCACAAAATAATTTTAGGCAAAACTTCCATGGGTTTTGTGCTTTAGTGCCTACCTAAATATCTCTTCTCCTGTGTACCAGTAATGATGACTTTGGTACAGTAAGCCCCAAAACAAAGCTTTCTATCCTTGCTGTTTTCTCAATTTTTTTTTTTTTTTTTTTTTTTTTTTTGTAAACTACTCTTTTTAGTTTATTTCTTACAAATACACTTTACAAGGAAGCGCAGCCTCTCTAAGACAGTTGTTTCTGGAGGGAAGGTGGTTGCCAAGCTGGTATCTGTGTTAATCAACACAGAGCAGAGACACTTCCTTCGAGAGAGCACGATAAAGTTTTACTGTACGACATTTCCTTGCAAACATTCTGCAGCAGACAAACAGTGAGCCTTTCCTTCCATTGAGTCTTTCC